CCCTGGATAAGATTAAAATTTGGGAAACAGGGCTGTATGCAATTCAATGGGAGCATAAAGTCTACCCATACCATTTTGGAGAAACCCAGCCTTAGACAAAATAGGTTGAACATATTTCTGAATTCTGATTTAGTGGTATTCTTGAAAGTGTTCTTAAAAACGAAAATTATGACTTCAGCTGCGGCTATTGTTTCACAGTGGGTTTCTTCTTCCATACGGACATGTAGGCTATTATATGAAAGTAGTTACGTTATTAAATGCAGAATAAGCTAGTTAGTAAGTCGGTTAGGTAGTTACCTAGGCTAATAGTTGGATGGATTCACAAATACAGTTTTGTCACTGGAGACTTAGGGCACAGTAGATTGATCGTGTTTATTAGAGCAAATGTGAATATCCTGAAAAGCCAAGAGACAAAGAGCACGCCTGATTGAGCGAGGCAATAAAGCCGTTACTTTCGTAGTAAGATGCTATAGTACCTAATTTTGCTTATCATTTTCTATTGAACTATCAACACTACTTGTCTAATTTCAGATATCGTTTATATTGAAAATTATATTTCCATCTTCCAAACACAGCCGCATCATCTTCATATCTATCTTGACACCGCCAACCTAATTCACTCGTCTATCCTTAATTCTGAATTCAACTAAAAACAGCTCTTTTCACAAATTTCGCAATAAAAGAGATCACTACTACATACATTACTATGCCTAGTTAGTGAAAAAAATTATTTACATTAAATCAACCTCACAAAACTTTTTCCTCTGTCTTTTACACGCTTGCTTTCTGCCACTTACAGGTTCACCTCTCTCTCTCCTACGAATACAAAGGCCTTATGTTCCGGCCGTATCTGGCTGAAGTGCGTCTGCTGGAAGAAAACCACGCTCCTCTACAGCTCATACAAGTGATGGCCTATCATGCTGACCAGCTGGGCCGGCCACTCTTCTGGCAGCAATCTAATCTCAAATCTGATCAAAACTTTGACGGAGAGCTTGGCCCTGAGCCATTTGTGGATGAAGCAGGTGGGCTAAGTGGCTCACGCCGGATCCATGAGACGAATAGATGGTTTAAGCAAGAAGAACCAGCAGCCGATTGGGAGGGCAGTCATAGTGATCCTGGACAAGGCAGCATTATCTACTCAATTGCTCGAGGCTACGACTATAACGGCAGTTTGACGATCAACCCTGAGACAGGTTAGTCTTCATTCATATTATTTTTAATTTACTTAAAATTTTCATCTTCCTTTGCTAGTACTGCATTATAAAGGCCCCGACCTTCTTTCTCAGTTTTAAGAGAGACAAAGCAAGTGTATTAATTTCATAGCTGCCCATAAATATTCTTGTTCCCATGTTGACGTAACATGATATTAATTGTGTCCGCTACTACTCTTCATCCTTTTCGTTAATGATAACGTCAAACAGTTACATTGCCAAAGAAGACTATGTATCCCACAAAAATCAGATCTTTGTAATGAAGTAGCACATCCACAATTTCCCCTCATTACGTTAACCTTCTTGTTTGGTATAAAACTTTAATACAGTGATATCTTCACGTTTGGGGTCGTGTGATTGGGCACAACTCCAAATGGGTGCTCTTTATTTGGGCAAGATGGATACCTCCCCTATATGCTCTAACTGTAAGGGAGCTTGCTCGAGGAGAAACGAATAATAGTCACTGTATAAAGAAGCAGAATAACTTCAAATCACTTGGAGGTTATGTCAGAATAAAGAATGATTCCTATACTTTTGTAAGTGTTGCTACAAACGGTAATGCATACTTTCAACTCTGTGAGTTACCTGAGGCTATTCTTCAATAAGTTAATTCGTTAATGAACATTCAAAGCAGATTCCATCTAAATGCCAGAACTGGAATGCGTACTTAATCTACAAATGGAGAACGCCGCACTGTTTCGCATTCCTGAAGGATTTTCCCTGAACCAGTCCTTCTATAACTTGAAATGGTCTGAACTACTTTCGGTTCTGTGGTTTATTTAAAGATGATAAGGCGTCTTGCCTTATTTTGTTTCAGGAACTTTTAATTTATTTGCCCGTGATAAACTGACTGATTTAATTTTTTATGCCTTTTAAATGTGTGCTTTTACCATCGGGATACTACAGTTTCGACTCGAAATTCCCAACAATATCCAAAGCCGATGTGTATGGGCCTGGAAACAAGTGGATTAGTATTAGACAGTTGCTCTCTTATCACAGGAAAATCACTCACTTTTAACAAACATGCGAGTTTCTTAAAGCTTGATTTGCGTTAAAAGTCATGGTCAAAGGGCTAAGATAGTTGGGCTTCAGGGATTATCTCTTTGTCTTAGACTCGGAAGAGAGTTCGAATGTGCAGTCCAGCCTAAGTCGCAGAGGCCCGTTATGATACATAGAGTAGTGAAATCCAATTTAATTGCTTTAAGTTCCCATGACACCATTTGAAACTAGTATCAATTAACAGTTATCATATTCCTGGTTGGTGTGACTCGTCCAGCACAAAAATGTATCTGGTTTTAAAATTTAAATAAACAATTTCTTAGAATCGGTTTTTTTTCTCATTCAGTCTTGACATCTTTTATTTACTTAGCTGACTATCCTAATATTTTCATGCAAGACCCTTCATGTATGGAATTTAGTATTATCTGGTATCATGTGTGGCTTAGCGATAAACTTATTATTTAAACAAATATTAGTATTTACTGTGCGCATCTACTTTTAGTGCAAGTTAAGCATAAGAGCCCTACCCCTCAGAGATGGATTTCGTTTCAAATTTAAAGTTGACGATGGTCAAATTGTCTGCTTCATTGCCGAATAGGCTCTGTCCTTCCTTCTTAATTAAGACGTTGATTCGTTAAACTTAGACTCGGTGTCACAAAAGTCAATCGTAACTATTTATTGCATAAAATAGCTCTATCCCGGCTTTGAGATTGAGGGAGACGAGTCTCGGTTTTTTCAATCCCAAAGACGGCTTAAACAGAGGAATTTCGAATTTAATTAGATTGCTGAATTTCAGGCACAGAGTCACCTTAGGCATGTCACAAATGTCGGTATGCTTTTAAATCACTTTCGTCCTCCTGTTTGACCTCACGACGCATTCTTTTTATTTAAATACAGCTAATCCCCAAAGCTGCACTGAAACTGTTAATCCACTTTCAAGTCTCGAGCCATTTGAGCAAGCCGGATTGAGTAATCTCTGGTGAAAGCTACTCCTTTCTGACAAAAGTCCACATTTCCTAATCTACGGCGGCCACTCTCTCCACACATTCCTCTCTGCATCACTTTCTGTCGATTGCCAACCTACTCGCAGTTTAGGAGAGGCTATTCTCCCTTTTATGGCCTTCAAGTATCAATTTAACTGGTACAACCAGCCACACTAGTTTCAGGAATGAGCATCAAAGAAACACATTTACAAGAGGTCATATGTCATTTAATGAACTCCTGGAGTACGGTTGAACATCAGGTGAAGCCTTCAGTGAACACTACATTTTGGGATTATTCATCTCTGATCAGTGGCGCATAGTTACAGGCAACGGCTGAACGGAACAAACCGAAATTAAGAGATGTCTCTCCCTAGTCCAGATTGAATTCAACCAGAAATCCGATTTAATCTTCGCTAAAAGCTCGACCTCTATTGATGAGTGACTATTCCTCCATAATTTCATCCTTTTCAACTATTACTCACGCCCTTGTGTAGCTTACATTCTCTGCGGCTTTAGTTCCGATATTTTGGGTTAGCCTTATTTCGGCCAATTGGGGTGAGAACGCATGTCTTATGTTGCTCGATAATACGAAGCACATCCAGTCAAGCTATCTTGTCTGCCAAAGACTATAGCCCATAGAAGATGGGCTGCACTCCCTATATCAGATATGCCTATTCACTGTTAATGATTTGAAAGCGATTCGTGCGTGTCCAAAGCAGAGATGTTGTTCTCTCCACAACACAACTCGAACGTGGAGCATAAAAAGGTGGCTTAAGCATCGATGGTCTGTAGCAAAGTGAGACAAGAACTATGCATTGCCAAATGTCTGCTCTGACACTTGAGCTCACCTGAACGGTGTGGTTGACTTCAGTTGGGAAAGAAAGGATTTCTCAAGTAGACCCAGGGTGGGTTTAAGGCTAATAGTTTCAATTGTATTTTTTTTTATCAATTCTTGTCTGATAGCCTAGACTGCCATTAGTGCTTCCCTTTCATATACGATGCGGT